AGATACACTCCTTGGAGAGAACAATCATGGGAGAAAGAAGGGCTGTATATGCACAGGGAGACAGCTCAGGGGGCAGGAGTTCATGGAGGGATGGACACAGGGAAGAGGTAACTATGGGGAGGAAGTGGGAGGGGAGCTTTGCATTGGGGTAAATTGTAGTCAATGTCATTGAGACAAAGTGTATGTGAACTGCTGTATGGAAAGTGAATTTGCTCTGTGAACTTTCACCCCAATCACAATTAAAAAAATTTTTTTTTTTAAAAAAAGATGATGATGAGGATGAGCAGCATCACTCTTCGTCATAGCTAGCTAGCTAGCTGGCTCTTAGTGAATACACATATCAGATATTGCACTAAATTCTGTGCCTGCATGAACCTATTTAATCTCTAGCAGTCTTGAGGTAGGTGCTGTTAGTATTCCATTTTACAGATAGGAAAAAGGCAAAGAGAGGGCAAGTCATTTGTCCAAGACCATGCTGATTGTAAGTGGCAGAGTTGGATTTTGAGCTTCTTACTGTAGAATGTTGTTAGTTAGAAGGAAGAGATGAAGTTTAAGCTGAGCTATGAAGGGCAAGTGGCAAAGACAGAAGAAAACATGCCAGAAAGAGGTAGATGGGAATTATTGGAGCAGTTCCCGCTGGGCATATGGGCATTTGTGGACAGTGCCCAGACTAACTGGAGTGATTAGGACAGAGTGGGTAGAATGCATTGGTGCATAGGTTGACCAGGCAAGATTGGATTAGAAGAGGAGAGTTCAGTATGGCAGCTGGAAAGCAAGGCTAGAGGATTTGGACTTGATCCAGTGAAGAGTTAACTATGTTGCCATAGTTAAAAATGTGTTAGTAAGAACCCTGGGAAATGCTTGCTGGTGGATTTCTGTGGGCAGAGCCAGGGCATTGGTTCAATCAGCTGTTCAGTGACTGGTTAGGATAGTGGTTTGGGTTGAAGCCCAGACAGAAAAGGCTCTGGAGAATTGCCCCAGCTCTGCTGGCTCTGGGGTTAGTGCAGGAGGGGGAGGAACAGTGCTGGCAAAAGGTCAGAATCCTTGAAAGGATGGGAACAATGTTGCCCCCATGAAACTCTGTAGATTTTATGCTGGTGCCACTCCAGCTACAGGCAGTAACTTCTGAATAACTGCAACTTGGAACAGAATTTGCACTGACGTTTTCTGGACTGTTTTGTAAAACTGTAGTTGTGGTTCATTCATTGCCTACCCATGCATAGTACTGTGAATGATGAGAAATACGTAATTTCCTTCAATAAACATAAATGAACCCATTTTCCCTGGGAAACTTTTGGGCTGGCAGTAGAGCTTCCTAACAAGCAGTGGGCAAGCCCAGATAGGTGTTTAGGTAGTATATTGGGGGTGCCTCAGATACTTTCCAATTCAAGATCACCTCAAGCATGTGTCAACTTCTTTATATAACTGTTGGGTCTTTGTTGACTTGAAATTACCTATGTTTTTGCCCACATTAGTGCAGACTCCTGAATCAGTGTTTCTCAGCCTCTTTTTTTTTTTTTTTTAATTATTCCCATACCTCTATGAAATTCTAATACTACTGATACACTGTATATGTTTATGTATCTGTGGCCACAAATCTCTGTAATATCTAAGATTTTTTCACTTCCCCAAAACCCACGTTTGGAACCTTTGGAGAATGGTATCACCCACGCTGAGAATGCATATTGTTTTTAGATGCCTTGGTTCAGACTCAAAGCGACCCTACGTACAACAAAACAAAACTCTGCCATATCCTGCGCCATACTCACTTTCATTGCTGTGTTTGAGCCCATTGCTGCACCCACTGTGTCAGTCTATCTCATTGATGTCTTCCTCTTTTTTACTGACCCTCTACTTTACCAAATATGATATCCTTCTCCAGGGACTGGTCCCTTTTGATAACATGTCCAAAGTATGTGAGACAAAGTCTTGGTATTCTTTCTAAGGAGCATTCTAGCAGTACTACTTCCAAGACAGATTTGTTCATTCTTATGGTAGTCTGTAGTATATTCAGTATTCTTCACAAATACTGTAATTCAAATGCATCCATTCTTCTTCAGTCTTCCATATTCGTTGTCCAGCCCTTACATGCATATGAGGCTATTGAAAACAGCATGGCTTGGGTCAGGTGCAACTTAGTCTTCAAAGTGACATCTTTGCACTTTAATACTTAAAAGAGGTCTTTTGCAGCAGATTTGCCTAGTGCAGTATGTTGTTGAATTGTTTGACTGCTGCTTTCATGGGTGTTAATTTTGGGTCCAAGTAAAATGAAATACTTGACAACTTCAGTCTTTTCTTTGTTCATTGTGGTGTTACTTATTGAGCCAGTTGCGAGGACTTTTTTTTTTTTAATGTTGCAGTTGTAATCCATACTGAAGACTGTATAGTCATTGATCTTCATCAGAAAGTGTTTCATGTCATCTTTGTTTTCAGCAAGCAAGGTTGTGTCATCTGCATATGTTGTTGTGGTTGTTACGTGCTGTTGAGTCGGCCCTGACTCAGCGACCCCTCCTTGGGTTTCCAAGGTGGTATCACTACGGAAGTAGATTGTCCAGCCTTCCTTCCGAGGAGTGGCTGGTGGGTTTGAACCGCCAGCCTTCTGGTTAGCAGTCAAGTGCCTTAGGCACTATGCCACCAGAGCTCCTGTTTTTTGGTACAGTGACTATGTATTCCATCTTCTTTTGATGTTTCCTGCATTGTTCAGTATTTTACCCATAAAAAATCAAACTCATCACCATTGAGTTGATTGTAATTCGTAGTGACCCTATAGAACAGAGTAGGACTGGCCTGTAGAGTTTTGAAGGCCATAATTTTTTTTTTTTTTAATTGTAATGTGGGTGAAAATTTACAGAGCAAATTCCATACAGCAGTTCACATACACTTTGTCTCATGACGTTGACCCCAATTTACCACAATGCAACAGCTCCCTCCCACTTCCTGATTGTTACCTCTTCCCTGTGTCCATCCCTCCATGCACTCCTGTCCCCTGAGCTGTCTCCCTGTGCATAAGCAGCCCTTCTTTTTCCCATGATTGTTCTCTCCAAGGAGTATATCTACTTCAGGTAAACGTTCAACTCCTATGCCTGTCTTTTGCTTAGCTGAAAGCCACAGGTATGGGTTCAATTCCAGACCGGAAGGGCAGCTAGGGGCCATAGTCTCAGTGGTTCCACCAGGCTCTATCAGAGCAGCAAACCTGGTTGTCCCTGCCCCCTTTTTTTTTCTCCAAATGAATTTGAGTTTTATTCCACTTTGTTCTCCCTCTCTATCCAGGATCTCCTACATAGATCCCCTTGCAAGTCGAAGGCCATAAATCTTTATGGAAGAAGACTGCCTCATCTTTCTCCTGCAGAGTGGTTGGTGGGTTTAAGCAGCCAATCTTTTGCTTAGCTGCCTGATGCTTTAACCACTGTGCCACTAGAGCTCCTTATTTTGCCCATATAATCTTTCACTATTGCAAATCGAGGCTTGAAGTTTTTTTTTTAGTTCTTTCAGCTTGAGAAATGCTGAATGTGTTCTTCCCTTGTGGTTTTCTATCTCCAGGTCTTTGCACATTTCATTATAATAATTGACTCTGTCTTCTTGAGCTGCCGTTTGAAATCTTCTGTTTGACTCTTTTACTTCATCATTTCTTCCATTTTGCTTTAGCTACTCTACATTCAAGAGGAAGTTTTAGAGTCTCTGATGACATCCATTTTGTCTTTTCTTTCTTTCCTATCTTCTGAACTACCTTTTGCTTTCTTCATGTATGACATCCTTGATGTCATCCCACAACTCGCTTGGTCTTTGATTGTTCATGTTCCATATGTCAAATTGAATGGTCTTGTGATGGTCTCTAAATTTGAGTGGAATAAAGTCAGAGTCATGCTTAGGCTCTCATGAACTTGTTTTAATTTTCTGCAGCTTCACCTTGAGGTTGCAGAACTTGCATAGGAGTAATTGATGGTTTGTTCTGTAGCCGGCCC